AGTAGGTAGTTTTTAGTTGTTCACCGTTAGTCTTAGTAGCATGCATGTCCCTTCATATTCTTAGATTCTTATTACGTTATGTGGTTATGTTTGTCCCAGGTATTGTATTCCCTGCTGCTATTATTTGGTACTACTTATCCTTCCTGAGCCGAGGGTCTATTGGAAACAGCCTCTCTACCTGCATTAGGTAGGGGTAAGGTCTGCGTACAAACTACCCTCCCCAGACCCCACCCGTTGGGACCAAACTGGGTTTGTTGTTGTTGTTGTTATTGTTTAGTTAATCACGTGCTCAAGAGCAAGTGTAAATCACTCTCTGTGCCACCTCAGCATGTCACGACTCGAATTTCCCACCCTCGGGAGTCGTGATGGCGCCTACTCGTAGAAGCTAGGCAAGCCAAATTATTAATTACTTTCCGGTTATAACATAATCCCTTTTAACAATTCATGGCAACAATATAAAATAATAAAATTAAATAGTAGCGGAAGTCTTAATTATAGAAACCGAATCAACATGCGGAATAGTCAATATAATTCTCTACCCAAGACTGGTGTCACAATACTCACGAACTGCTAAGAAATACTAAACACAAACGTCTGAAAGAAAACATAAGTTGTTCGTCTCGAATACAATGAGGCAACAGGCTGAAAAGAGAGAATAAGGGAGACGCCGGGCTTGCGGACGCATGCAAGGCTACCTCGGGTCTCACCGGACTGAAGGCCCACTCCCGTACTAATGCTGCTGCTGCTGCTCGAAACCTGGACCTGTGCAAATAGCACAGAGTGTAGCATCAGCACAATCGACCCCATGTGCTGGTAAGTGTCTGGCCTAACCCCGGCGAGGTAGTGACGAGGCTAGGACCAGACTCCAGATAAACCTGTGCAGATATATATATACAAGTACAACAGAAAAATAGCAAGAAAATAACAATTTAAGCTGGGGAAGGGAGCATGCTTCAGGGTAACAGATAGAGTCAAAATATCAGGAATAATGGTATGTACATCTACAGTTTAACTTCTAACAATAATGGAAAGTTAAAACAACTTTCATATTCAACTCATTTTGTTGCAGGCGTGCAACCCGATCCCATTTCTCAATATCTCGTGGTAGGCGTACCACTCGCTCCCATTTCAATATCATTTGTGGTAGGCGTACCACTCGCTCCCATTTCAATATATCATTTGTGGTAGGCGTACCACTCGCTCCAATTTTAATATATCCTTTGTGGTAGGCGTACCACTCGCTCCTATTTCAATATCATTTGTAGGTAGACGTACCACCCGCTCCCTTTACTTTCAACACAATACACAATACAATCCCGGCAAGGGAACAATCAAATTAATACTCTTTCCTGGCAAGGGAACTATAACAACAAGTCAAACATCCCGACAAGGGAGAGTCAGCTATAACCAATCCTATTCAACTTTTTTCTGGCACAACTAATACAAATATTTAATCACAACGTTCATAGGATCAAACAAGGGTACACAATTATCAAATTAAGACTCACGGTCATGCTTGACACCGACGCATGGATACTCGTCACCATGCCCATACGTCGTACTCGACAATTAACAAGGAGCAATTATGACTCAACTCCTAATCCCTCAAGCTAGGGTTAAACCAAACACTTACCTCGATGCCTTGAATTCCACTCAAACCTCAACTATTGCTTTACCCCGCGATTTCACCTCCAATCCGCTCGAATCTAGTCACAAATTGCTCAATTACTTTAATAAACACTAAGTGAATCAATTTGAATGCATAAAAATGAATTTCCCAAGTTTTTCCCCAAAAATTCCAAAATCGCCCCCGGGCCCACGTGGTCAAAACTCGAAGTTCGAACCAATACCCGGTTACCCATTCCCCACGAACTCAAATATGTAATTTGTTTTGAAATCGGACCTCAAATTGAGGTCCAAATCCCCAATTTTTTGAAAACCTTAGGTTCTACCCAAAACCCCCAATTTCACCCATGAAATTCATTGATTCTAAGTTGAAAACATGTTAAATGATGTTAAAGATTGAAAGAAATGAGTAAAAACCAACTTACAAATTTTGGGAGAAGTCTTGTTCTTAGAAAATCGCCCAAAGAGTTGTATTTTGAAAGTGGGGTGAAAAATAACTTAAAATTCGACTAAGTATGAAATTGTTGGGTCTCTGATGTCGCATTTGCGAACTGGCGAACCCCGACCAAAATATGGGAATTTCGAACTCTGCTTCGCATTTGCGAAGCCAAGCCTTACAGGGGACCTTCGCATTTGCGAAGAAGGTCTCGCATTTGCGAACCCTGTACATTCGCATTTGCGAAGAAAGATATCGCATTTGCGAGCATAGTCAGGCCTGGGCTGGTTTCGCATTTGCGAACCAGCCTTCGCATTTGCGAGTTCGCATTTGCGAAGCCTGCAGGCCTGTTCATACCAGATTTTTCCTAAGTTAAAAATGCACTCCGGCGCCTATCCAAAACTCACCCGAGCCCTCGGGGCTCCAAACCAAATATACACACAACCTCAAAAACATCCTACGGACTTATCCGCGCAATCAAATCGTCAAAATAACATCATATACATCGAATTAAACCTCAAAATTCATAATTTCCTCCAAGTTTTCTTAAAACATCAAATTTCCATTTTAAGTCCGAAACACGTCATACGACGTCCGATTTCAACCAAACTTTACAGAAAGCTCTTAAACCATATATAAGACTTGTACCGGGCGCCGGAACCAAAATACGGGCCCGATACCACAGTCTTTTAATCAAATTTCATTTTCATTTTCCTTAATCATTTCCAGAAAACAATTTCACACAAAAATTCATTTCTCGGGCTTGGGACCTCGGAATTCGATTCCGGGCATACGCCCAAGTCCCATATTTTTCTACGGACCCTCCGGGACCGTATTGCGGATCCGGGTCCGTTTGCCCAAAATGTTGACCGAAGTCAAATTTAATCAATTTAATATCAAATTTTAGCATTTTTCTCACATAATTCATATTTAAGCTTTCCGGCTACGCGCCCAGACTGCGCTCGCAAATCGAGGCAATCCTAAATGAGGTTTTCAAGGCCTCGGAAGCACGGAATAAGTAAGGAAACAAGTGATGACCCTTTGGGTCGTCACACAGCATAAGGTGTTCAATTGGCACATTTTATACACAGTTAAAGTGTCCAATAGGTAATAGACCCGGTTAAAGTGTCTAAGTAAAAAATAGTACTAGCAAATTTAAGGGCCTGTCTATGTATTTGGCCTAGTATATTTGATATCGTCAGAGGACCATGGATTCATGTGAACCACGATTTACACCGTGGATCCGCCAAGGCCTTCACAGGTTTACATGTAAATGAAGTGCAGGTTTAATGATCTTTGTTTATTATGCCAGAAATATTTCTTATATTAAGAGAATTCAACAGTTCATACGTAAACAAAAAGAATTATTTTTACCCTATTTAAAGTGTATAATTTTCAGATAAATGAAAATCAGTTGAGCTTCCTTGCCGTATATAGTTCTGCTCCTGCTCCTTAAGTGACTTTTTTTATTTTGTAAATTATAAACCTACAAAAGTGTCAAACTAAAAAAAGGTCAAGTTATTCAAGGAAAAAAGAGAGCAAAAGAACGCGTTTAAGGTTGGTTTATTTAGTAAATACGTCTAATCTCAGCATTACTACACGGATGGTTTCCTTGGTGTTATTTGTACATCATATTCCTTTATAATTTATTATTTAAAAAAATATTTTTAAATTTCTTATGCATAAATATAATTTTTTTATGTGTAAAAATAAATTTCTTATATGTAAATTAAAAGTAAGTATAATATATAAAACTAAAAAAAAAATTGTAAAAAACCCACAAAACTAATAGACCGTTTGGTTCCAAATGAAAGGACACTATATATAAATTAACATTTTACGTTATAAGAGTGATGTAGAGAGAGAAACTAGAGAGAGAAACTCCGGCGATTGTTGAGCGAGGAAGCTGCCAACACCGAGTGATGCCTCACCAGAATCACCATAGCCACCCTACACAATCTCATTTCCCAGTTGACAACATGACTAGACTAATTACTCCAGAAAATGGAATCCCCCAAAAAATAGCTCCAATTCAACTGTTACATTGGCTACCAGGTATGGGAAGTGCTCCTACAGTCATGCAAGCTCCACCGGAGGTGGAGAAGGAAGAATTGAAACCACTGGAAACAGCTACAACTACAGCGGCACGAAAATTAACATACTCAGCTGGATCTCAAGCAAAACGGACTATGGCTGAAGTAGTGAAAGGCAACAGAGTTCAAACAAAGGGCATGCAACTCAAATTCTATCCTCTGACGGTGAAGAACGGAGTGAAAATGGCCAAATTAAACCCAAAGGAGATAGAGCAACAATCACAGCGATGGAAAACAACTTTGATAGGTTATGTCCTAGGAGGAAATCCGTCATTCAAGGAAATGCTCAAATTCGTCTATGGCGTATGGAGTACAGTCACAATTCCAACAGTATTGCTGCATGATGACGGGTATTTCATTTTTAAATTTGAATCTATGGAGGATAAGAACCTAAAAATGCAAAATGGCCCTTACACGTTCAATAACCGACCTATGGTGTTGAAGGATTGGGATCCTAACTTCCAGATGCAGAATGAATCTATGCGAATTGTTCCAATTTGGATCAATTTACCTGGACTTCCGATCCAGTGTTGGGCTGAGGAAAACTTAGGTAGGATTGCCAGCCTACTAGGCAAACCTATTTGCACTGATAGACTTACAGCAGAATGTGAGAGGGTGTCATATGCTTGAATACTTGTTGAAATGGACATTACACAACCAATGCCTGATGAGATTTGTGTTGAAACGCCAAATAGAAGCTGGATGCAGAGAGTTGAATTTGAATGGAAACCAAAATTCTGTATAGATTGGAATGAATTTGGACATGGTACTGGAGAATGTAAACAAGCAACACAACAAGAAGAGGAACCAATGAAGCATAAGAGAAGAAGGAAGAAGAAATTAAAATGGAATGGCAACCTAAAGCAACTGCAGAGGAAAGCAATAATACAAATACCCAGCAACAAGAGATTCAAACTGAACCAGTTGTGGATATTCAAGTCAATAACAGAGGTAAGCAGGCAGTGGTAACTCAAGGAGCTACTGGTAAACCAAAACAGGCAGAGATCAATTATGAAGAACTAGCTAGAAGGAATGCATTTGCTCCACTGAGAATATTGGAGAGGACATCCATTGAGGGACAGTAGGGGCAATCTTCTAGTACTATAGTAGGCCAAACGGCTAAAGAGGGTAATCCCAGCATTCACAAACCCACATGATCATTGTATCCTGGAATATTAGAGGACTGAATAAGTCCTTTAAACAGCGAGAACTAAAGAAATTCTTGCTGTCAAATAAAGTAGATTTGATTGCTGTTTTGGAGACTAGAGTTAAAAAAACACAGGTTGCAGAAGATTCGAATGAAGATGGGAATAGACTGGCATTTCAAAGACAATTATGAATACGCACCTAATGGTAGAATATGGTTAATATGGAAAGAAGCAAATGTACATGTAGCAGTACTGGAGAACACTGATCAGATGATTCACTGTCTAGTGAAGGATAAAAATTCAGCATTCACCAGTTATATAACATTTGTGTATGGCCTCCACACTACTCAACACAGAATTCCACTATGGAGAAGTTTGAGGAACATGCAAACTACTGGACCATGGCTCATAATAGGAGATTTCAACAGTGTGCTAAATGTAGATGATAGGGTGAATAGAATTTCAGTTCACCAAGCAGAAATAATTGATTTCCAAAACTGCCTTGATGATATTGGAGTGGGACAAATCACAAAAAGAGGCAGCAGTTTCTCATGGTGCAATAAAAGGGATGCAGATGTCAGAATATATAGCCACATAGATTGAAAATTTGGGAATGTTGATTGGTTCAATATTTATAATGGGGTAGAGGCAATATATATGCTCCTAGGATGCTCAGATCGTACCCCTATAATGATAAATACAGATGTTTTAAAAGTTAGAATGAAAAGGCCCTACAGATTACTAACATCAGTAATGCAACAAAGAGAATATAAAGAAGTGGTCCAAAATACTTGGAGTCAAAAGATCAAAGGATATGCAATGTATTCTATATGGAGGAAACTGCAGCTTATTCAACGACAAACAAGGGACATTCAACAGGAACATTCCTTAGTTGATCAAAAGCTGATTCAATTGAGAGAAACACTGTAGGAAGTACAGGGGAAGCTCAATGAGGACTACTTCAACAATCAACTTATAGAAGATGAGAGAAGGATCTTAAAAAGCATAGAGAAATGGGAAGCAATTCATGAGCAAATTATGAGGCAGAAGTCGAGAGCAACATGGATCCAACTAGGAGATTGCAATACCAAATACTTCCATGCTTATATGAAGGCCAGACAAGCAAGAAATAAGGTGAGTTGCATTTATAATGAAATGCAGATGAAGATCACTGAGCCCAAACACATTCAAAGAGAATTCATCCAGCAGATGAATTACCAGGGATAGATGTCAGTATAGCACGAAATGGTCCTTGTCTAACACTAGCCCAGCAGCAACAATTGTTACAAGCAGTAACACCAGAGGAGATCTGTCAAATTGTAAAGAATCTACCTAATGACAAGGCACCAGGTATGGATGGATACCCTCCTGAATTCTTTAAGGAATTTTGGCCAATCATTGGACAGGAGGTCATAGAAGCAGTTCAACAATTCTTTCAAACTGGCAAACTACTGAAGAAAATTAATTGCACAACTGTTACATTGATTTCAAAGGTGAAAAATCCCAGCTATGTGAAGGAGTTTAGGCCAATTGCTTGTTGTTCAACCATGTATAAAATTATTGCCAAGCTACTGACAAATAGACTTAAACTAGTTGTGGATCTTTTGGTTGGACATTCTCAGTCTGCCTTCATAGAAGGAAGGAATATTCTTGACAATGTTATAATGGCTCATGAACTGATAAAAGGGTACTCTCAAAAAGCAGTTTCTCCTATATGTATGATCGAAGTGGACATTAGGAAAGCATATGACTCGGTTGAGTGGAGTTTTTTTAAAGCAGTACTGCTTGAGTTTGGGATACCATACAAGATGATAGCACTAATCATGGAATGTGTATCTACAGTCAGTTATACTCTCCTACTGAATGGGGGACTAGCTGACAAATTTGCAGCAAGAAAAGGGCTAAGGCAGGGGGACCCTATGTCCCCATACTTGTTTGTATTAGCAATGGAGTACCTAAACAGATCTTTGAAGACACTGAATCAGAATTCAGATTTTAACTTTCATCCTAAATGTGCTGAACTGCAAGTCATACATATCTGCTTTGCAGATTACTTATTGATGTGATGTAGAGCTGATGAGGTTTCAGTGAAGTTAGTGATGAAAATTTTTGATCATTTATCCAAGGCCTCAGGTCTACAAGCAAATCTGGAAAAGAGTTCATTATACATAGCAGGTGTGCCTATGGTGTTCAAAGCCAGAATGTTAGCAGAACTTCAACTATCAACAGGCAGCATCCCATTCAAATACTTGGGAGTTCCTTTGTCCTCAAGGAAGATTACTATTCAGCAATGCATGCCTTTAGTTGAGAAGATGGTGGAGAGGATAAGAAGCTGGACATCAAAGCTATTGTCCTATGCTGGAAGACTACAACTTATTAAAAGTGTCCTGTTTGAAATGCAGACCTACTGGGCTCAAGTTTTTTTAATTCCAAAGAAGGTGATTAAACTGGTTAATGGAATTTGCAGAAACTATTTGTGGACTGGTAGTCATGAGAATACTCACAGAAATCCATAGCATGGGAAACATTATGCAAACCAAAAGCTGCTGGGGGCCTAAACATTATCAATTATGAGAGATGGAATAAAGCTGCTTTGACTAAACTCCTATGGGCTCTAATGGCTAAGAAGGACAAACTCTGGATTAAATGGATACACAGCCACTATATAAAGCAGAAGGACATCATTACAATGGAAACTCCAAAGCAGGCTAGTTGGATAGTGAAGAAACTGTTTACATCAAGAGAATGGTGGGCTAATGACATACCAACAATTGAATCATTTGCTCAGAATGGGAAATTCAGCATTCAGAAAGCCTACCTTCATGCTACTCCAAAATACCCTAAAGTCCATTGGAAAGCTCTAGTCATGTTAACAGGAATATTACCTAAGCAACATTTCATTTTATGGATGGCAATACAAAGAAGGTTAGCTACGGTTGACAGACTAGCAAAATGGAGAATTCAGGTGAACCATTCTTGTGTATTGTGTGGAGGTGACATAGAAGAGACACATGATCACTTGTATTTCGAGTGTCCATATTCACAGAGCTTATGGAAGGGGTTGCTTGAATGGTTAAGTTACAAGAGAAGGGTTGAAATCTGGGAAGCTGAGGTACAATGGTTAACTGCCAATGTAAACAACAGAAATCCAAGGAAAAATGTGCTAAGAGTGGTGTTTGCAGCAGTAGTATATTATATCTGGATGGAGAGAAATGCAAGACGATTCCAGAACCAGAGCAAAGAGATTCAGGATAGAGCAAAAGAAATTGTTTTGCGGGTGCACATAACAGGACAGAAGAAATGTAAATGGACACCTATATTGAATACACTAAATAGCTATCCTAATTGTAATTCATAGCAAATAGGATAGAAAAAAGACCCATGATGATATGGGGTCTTAGTTAGCAGCCCTGGTTGTGTAGGTATTTTGTTTATTGGTTCCAGCTATGAGACCTGATACTAGAGTCCAAAGTACATGTGATGTAAATTGAAAAACTGGTTGAAATAAAAACAAATTCTTTCGACCAAAAAAAAAAAGAAAGGACACTATATAATTAAAGTTGCAAGGGGTGGGGGCCAACGGTAGGGCTGTTCATTTGGATAGGATATCCGAAATCCGAACCGATCCGTTTAATTTCGGATTTCGGATTGTGTTTATTAAAATTTGAATTTCGGATTGGTATAATTTTAATCCGATCCGATCCGAAATTCAAAATTATTAGGGCATGTATAAATATTAAACTTTAATTTCGGATAGTCAGTACTTCCTTTACATCTTCCTCCAAGTTATTGCCTTTACAATTGCTGGATTTAGCTATATTGACACCATAGTACTCTCATAATTGCAGAAACATGAATTTTTTTTACTGTATTGCCTCTTTTACAAAGAAAATATACATATGAGTTTGCAACTTTGAGGCATAATAATCCGATCTGAAATTCGAAAATCTGATCCGATCCAAACTTTAAAATTCGATCTGATCCGATATTAATTCGGATCGGATATGAATTGCACTTTCTAAAATCCGAAATCCGAGTCCGAAATATACTAAATCCGATCCATGCACAACCTAGCCATTGGCATATCTGTGCATAAAAAGTGTTCATTATTGTCCAGTTGACGTGGCCCCCTGTTGTGTCACTTCAGGGTCCCTTACCATAAAAACTTTGCTTTTACCTTCTGTTTGGTTAGAGTTGTTAAATGCGAAGAGCTTTTAGGCACATCTAAAAAAAAAAAAAAAAAAGTCTTCCACCTTTGAGATATTCAAACATAAATTATTTCTTAAGATTTTACATAAAGTAAAAATATCCAGACACCTTTCGTCACATTTCCCAAAAATCTATTTATTCGCTTTATCTTCCTATCGGTAATAAACAATAATAACAACAACCCCCACCCGTTTACCAAATATTTTCAGCTTAATTAGACGAAAAGAAAAAATATCAGTACTACCAACAGATATCATAGGAATAATAACAATATCATAAAGACCAGAATATAGATAAACATCAAATGTGATAGCCATTAAATAAATCCGGCGCTATAAAAAACGAAAGAGTAATAAGACACAACTTTAACTACTAGCAGTTTAAGACAAAAATCCTATCGGACTAGCCTCACAACCTATGGGTAATAAAAAGAAATAAAAATTTTGAGAGATGGACTTATCAGTATCTTAGCTTATCAATACTCCCTCCGGTCCACAATAAGTGACCAATTTGCTTATTTATTTTGGTCCAAAATAAGTGTTCATTTATATAATCAAGAAAAAATTCAATTTGTTTTTTTAAAATTACCCTTATGCTGCTTACATTTGAGAAGAGAAGTAAGTGCTACTATAACTAAGGTGCAACATTCAATGAAGGGTAATTTAGTTACACTAATTATTTTTATCTAGAATTTAGTAATTCCTTAATGAATGTGTTCAAAGCAAATTGGTCACTTATTATGGACGGGAAAGAGTAAATTGAAAACGGAACAAAGCGTTACTGGAGTTTCTATCAACATTTAATACCGAAAGTAAACTAGTATTGTCACAAATCACGTGAATACAACCCCTCTCACTTACTGAACTTTGAAATAAGGGCAAGTAACATAAATTCGGCCAAAATATCTACTATGATGTGAGCTCCTTTTTATTCAGTTATTTAAAATGATCTACTTTTTTTTTTTTCTGTAAATGCTACTCCCTATTTTAGTACATTTAACTTCTTCTTTTTTAGTCTGAGGAAAAAACACATTTAAGTGGATGGACAAAACATTATTGTTTGTGTGTTTAAAATTCAATCATTTTGACTTGACATAGTGCCTTCTACTCTTTTTTTATTGTTATTTTCACAAATTTCTTTGTTTGCTTATCACAGGATCGATTATCATGTGCCACAAAACAGCATAATTTTATTCGATTACTTTTAAATAGATTGCACCCAGCTGGCTAAAATCCTTATTCCTTATGTATCAAATGTCCCACACGTGCCCGAAGTCAAATTGCACAGATATCATTTCTAGTTAGTTGACTTAAACATACTTTCATACTACTACTATTCATCGGATTTGAACGTCATTTCCAGTTTCTCCTTTTTTATATTTTAAATTAAGAAACAGTTGCTAGCCATCCTCATAACTTTGGAAAGAGGAACGAAATCACATGTAGTAAAATGAAAAAATTTATTTTGTGACTCACACACTACACTAGTTGTGTGAGCCCTCTTTTTTGTCTCACAATTGGGTGGTCCTAGAATTTTTGTGAATCCAGATATGTAAGATATGGGTCCACAAATATGTGAGATAAAAAAAGGCATCACACAACTAATGTAAATTGTGTGAGACACAAAATAAAACCACTCTTTAAATTATTAATTTTTGTAATTTATATTATTTTTATATAATTTTCATAAATATAATTTTATTTCAAAAATTTAAAGTTTCTATATCCATATTCATGATCAAAACTAAAAAAGTTGACATAAAATTTGAGTTACGTCATATAAATTGAGACAGGGGAAGTAATACATAGTGGCCGTTTGGGCATAAGAATTGTAACATTTCGGAAAAAGTAAAAAAAAAAAAAAAATTAAGTTAAAATGGTACTTTGAAAATTTGATTTGTGTTGGGATATAAATAAGAACTGTTTTTAAATTTTTGTGAGTGATTTGAAAGATAATTATAAAAACACTTTTTTGGAGTTTTTCAAATTTCCGAAAAATTTCTGAAATTCAACTTCAAATGAAACTTAAAATTTTCATGGACAAATACTAATTCAAAAAAAAAATCGGAAAAAGTAACAAATTGAAATTTTTACCTCCTATAGCAAAGGTTAACACCTTATTTATTTTAAATAAATACTATTTAAAAAATTATATTCTATAGATACCTTTTAATGTTATAGCAAAATATCTGATTTTGGTTACCTCCTATCCCTAAGCCACTAAATACGCTAATCAGTTACAATATTTTATTTCTCTCTCTATTTTGATACATGTCATTCTCTTGCCCCATTCCCTGAAAAGACGATGCATAATCTAATTCACTTCTCTCGGCCGCACCACCTCTTCCTGCCTTCCTCCTCCTTCCGCCACCACTTCTGTCGTTCACCTCCACTTCCCCTGCCTTCTGCTACCTCACAAATGGAAGCTCAAAACTTCTCTTTATTGCACCCATAAAAATCCATCTAAACCACAAGAAAAAAGAGGAAAAAGTTTTTTTTAAATCAATTCCCTCCCTTTCCTGAATCTACTGATATATTAGACGTAATATCAAGAATTCAATAATGGAGTGGCGTCCGTTTGATGTCACTGTGATCTCCGCCGCAGGCATAAAAAATATCAATTACTTCTCCACAATGGATGTTTACGTCGAAGTTTCAATCGTAGGTTATGCCAAGAACACAAAGATTCGCGAAAGAGTTGAGGGTTTTTGCTCGACGGCGGATTCGCCGGAAATTAGGGTTTGTTCTTGAACAAAGACGACGGAGTTTGGTACTGAGCAACTTCATTTTCTGTTAATATATTTTAATGTTTTTTCAACGTATCACGTTGTATTTTCATGTATTTCATTGTATTCATTGTCTTTTTTTTCCATTGTTATTCAATGTATCTCGTTGTATTCCATGTATTTCATTGTATTCACTGTCTTTTCTTCTCATTGTATTTCAATATATCCCGCTGTATTCTATGTATTTCATAATATTCACTGTCTCGCTATATGTCATGAATGTATTCATATATATATATTTTAATTAATATAATTTATGTATTCAGATGTATTATATAATTTCTCTGAAAATTGCTATGTTTTTCGAATATTTTTCGATTGAGAATCTTTTTTATAATTGAAAATACAAAATTTGTGTGTTATAATTGAGTTTGTTGAGTTATATTAGGAGTCTATTATGTTAATTGATTCACTTTCCGTTTTAAAAACAGTGTAATCCCCTATTTCACGCCGTGAATAGGGTCGAATACAATAATTTGTCCAGCTCTAATCTCATATTTCACTCCATAAATACAGCCGAATACACTCGAATACAACAACTAATTAGCTGAACTTCCCTGATTCACGCTTATTTTTGCTACTGTATTCATAAATACAATAGCTTAAATACATCAAATACATCTTATAACCACATAAAAGATATGTATAATCCATAATATAGCAAATGGTATCTATAGACGACTAATTATTACTAAAAATAGTGCTTTATGGAAATTTCTCTAAAAAATTTCTTAGGGCCAAACGGGCCATACTGCTACACTATTGCAACATAACAATCTTGTCTCTATAAATTACTTAGCGTATAGGTAAGTCCCCAATAACGTTAATAAATATACCTCTCTTTACACTTCTAAAAAAACCGTAATTAAATTAGTAAAAATAAAAATTAACCAACTTAAAAAAAAAAAAAAAAAAAAAAAAAAAAAACGATAGGCCGACAACAGTGGGCAATCGCTCATTTTGGATTCTCTTCTCCTTTCTTGAGATCGTCTTCTCAGCTGAATTAATGGAGGAATTTACTGTATCAATGCACAGCAAGAAAAGTGTACTATGAGATTGGAGCATCTTTCTTTTTTTTCCTCCATTTTTGTTTTATTTTTCAAACTTCATGGAGTTTAGCTAAATATCTACAGATTCTTGTGCTCACTAATCCATGGCGTTTGGACCAGCACAAGCTTTGAGAACAGGGCTCCAAATCCACTGAACCAAAAACTTCCTCCCTCTCCGTCCGTTCAAATTAAAAGTCCGGCCATCTCTATCCTTCATTACCTGTCCAATGTACCCACCCCCACCCCCTGTCCCATACAACCCCTCACACAAATCTCCAATCTCCGTCGGCGCAACCGGATCTTCCCCTGCATACCACGCATTCACTAACGGATTTGATGATAGTTCAGCTAGTTCGTGACCTATCACGCTTATCATTCCGTCAACTCCGACGTCTCCATTTGGTGATTTCAATGCCCCGGGCCCACCTCCTCCCATGTACCCCGGCACCGCAAATGGATACGCACAAACTTCGGGACATTGCTTCCCGGAGTTGCCGACCCAAGCGTACGGCAGCGTGTAACCGACTTTCGATGCGAAGGTGAAGTAGTGAAACCCACAAACTGCTCGACAAAAGTCTTGCATAGTAACGTCGACTGAAGTTAACACGAGATAGATCCCTTTCTTATGATCTACGGTGAACGGCTTCGATCGGACGGCTTCGGCAATGACGTCTTGAATGGAGAGACGATTAAGGTTTTTCCCCTGAGAATACTTATAGTCAGAGTATTCTCCGGCGATGAGTACGGAGCGGGAGATGTTAGCTCCGGTTTGGTCAGTGTACAATGACACAGTGCTCCACCACTCCGCGACGGAAGGTGACGGAGCAGCACGGTGGTTGAAGGTGGAAACTGAGAGAAGGAAGTCTTTAATGAGGAGTTGCTGAGATGGGGCCCACTTACCATACCAAATGAGGTAGATATTGATCGGAGAAGAGAGAACTGGACCCATATGGTAACGGAGGTTTACCAGGTCTGAAGATCCCTCGAACTTTTTAGAGGAAGACAGTGTCTTAGGGGGCAGCTTTGGGTTGAAGTAGTTTGGGTGTTGAAGCTCAAGAGTTTGTGCTGTAGGGGAAGAAGCATTGTTAGATCGAAACTGAAACAAAAGGGATAAGAGAAATAGGTTTAGTATAACTCTAAACATTATCAATGGAGGAAAGAGATGTGGAGCTTAGGCAACTGAGAGTCTGATGGGGTGAGGACAAGGGAAGTTGAAGGGTTGGGGGCACATTTTATAAAGAGGAGAAGAAGGTGTTGAGGTTAAAAACTAAGGACCCGTTTGTCCATATTTATTTTTCCTTTTTTTTTTAAAAAAATAAATAAATATATATATATATATATATATATATATATATATATATATATATATATATATATATATATATATATATATTTGTCCATAAAATGAGCTTTTCAAAAATCAAAAAACAATTCTGGTTATTTTTCAAGTTTTCTAGAAATTTTTTTCCCTATTCAGAAAATTATAATATTTTTTCTTGTGAAATGTATGTCCAAACATAATTTAAATTTCTAGTATTTTTTGTCAACTTAACTCCAAATATTATTTTTTTTTAAAAATTATAGTAAGTAATATTTTTGTCTAAACCCTTACTAAGTAAAAAAAAATTTGTGCTGGATGTGTATATCAAGTCAATGAATATAAGATACTATATATCTTGCACATATATATATTTTTTTAATATGTGAATGGCTAGAGGTCACCTTTGGAGATCATGATTAAGAGCCCGTTTGGACATAAGAAATTTTTTCTTTTTTTTTTTCAAAAAAATATCACTTCTTTTCGAAATTAACGTTTGTTCATAAAATTTTCAATTTTCACTTAAAGATACATTTTGAAAATTTTAAAAAAATTTAAAAACTCCAAAAAGCTATTTTTTAAAATTCTCAATCAAATCACTCACAAACTTAAAAAGCAACCCAAAATTATATTCATGTCCAAATACAACTCTAAATTTCAAATATCATTTTCACTTGAAAATTTTATTCACCCTGTTTTGAAATTTTACAATTCTTATGTCCAAACGCCCACTAAGTGCTATACATTTCGCTTTGGTTTGTTAATTTTTATGATTAATTAATTTTATATAAAAACACATTGTAGGTAAGTGGGCGTTTGGATATAAGAATTGTAAAATTTCGGAAAAAAGTGAGAAAAAAAAATTCAAAGGAAAATAGTATTTCAGCATTAGAGTTGTGTTTGGACATGAATATAATTTTGGGTTGTTTTTTATTTTTTGTGAGTCATCTGAAATGAAAATTCTGAAAAAAGCAGTAGCTTTTTTTTGAAGTTTTTTAAATTTTTTAAAAAAATTTGAAATTTTAAGTAAAAATTAAAAAATTTATGACCAATATTGATTTCGAAAAAAAAAGTAAAAAATACAAAAAAACGAAAAAAGAATCTCTTTGTGTGTGTGTTGTACTGTTGTGGTGTTTGGTTTAGGAGGGAAATGGGCTGGAGACAGCTGCCACTGTTGTGGGCTCCAACCGGCCACCACCACTCCCAAAGCTCATTACCCCGTTCTTTTCAGGGAAAAAAATGGGAATCGACTGTCCTCTCATCAGTAATAACTTTGCACAACTGGACATACGAAATGACAGGAATAGCCCATCCAAGTATAGACATTGAATAATTGACTGATTGTTGGAATTTGATAGCACTAGGCCTGTCAATTGTTTAGAAGAATTAAATTAAATTGCTACTCACTCAACTGCTTAAATTAGCCAATATACTATGTTTATAACTGTGTAAAACCAGTATATTATCTAAGGACTGAAGATCCCAATTATTTACCTTTGAAGCAGGTTATATAGTCTTAAAAATGAAGAAAATTCTGGTATGAAAGCGTTACTTTCTTTAATGAGTAGGTCTTATATGAAGTGAATTTAGATTAGTTTATTTAATGAGTTTTAAATATAGGGTGCTTTTAAAGAAAAAACTTGACCCTCTTAAGTGATCATATGCGGATTTGTGCTTGTGATTAGTAGATTTAACTTAACCGATGTCAAATAGTAAAAGATTAATGTGAAAGGAAGAGTTGCTCCACTTGGTAGGACTAATAAGCCAAATTTTATACAGTACTTTGACAAAATTTGAAAGGGGAATGGCATCTGATTCAGAAAAAGAGGAAACCCGCAATGCAGTCTGCCCCTCGCATTGATGCCCGGACAAGATGAGAAAGGGAAACTAATTGGATGAGCTGTGGCCTGTGAGGTTTGATCTTGATGTTTTCTTTTAATTTCTATTCACAATCATCTTAGTTACAATATTGTTAGGGAAAGAAAATTTTATTACTGGTGGAAAAACAAATAGAGGGCATGGTAAAATGAGTTAGGGGCATTGCGGTGGCATTCCACATAGCATTTACCTCATTAAATGTCTGTATCGTGTAAGATTAGATGTTCACCTTGAACAAACTTAATGCAAAAGGAATATATTTGAATCAATAGTATTATGATAGATGTATATTTAGACCCAAAGTATAACGAATGATCTATTTAAATCTTTTCTCGTAGTACATAGATATATTTGGACCTTTTCCGTACTTTTAATGTTCATTAGGAAAATCGAACAAATGTTTCAATACTAACCAAAGGGAAAATGCATAAGTATCCCCCTAACCTATAGCAAGATTCTCAACTACATACTCTACCTTTTCGGGGTTTTTTATTATCACCCGAACTATTTTATAGTCAAATAGATTCATCCTTAGAGTAGCACAACCAAATTTCTGTTGGGCGGTGAACCACACTCGCTTGACACATCAGATTTCATTAAAAAAATAAAAATAAAAACCTTTTTTTCCTTTCCTTTCCTTTCTCTTTTTCTCTTATTCGTTACTCTAGTCACCACCAACAAACCGAAATAACAAAGATTTACTCATGCTTTTTTTTTTCTTTCTGCTGCTACACTTCTTTAATGGTAATTATGGTAGAAGATTTTCAGATGGTGGCTATGATTGGTAATTGTGGGTGGCATAAAGAAGATGGAAGTTATAATTAAGAGGTTAGTGATGATATATAAGATGAGTATAAGTGTGTCTGCTAGGTTAGAAGAAGACTTTTTCCAGCTAATATTTCAATACCTCCATTTTTTTCGGTGTATGGAAGTTTTTCGATGATGATTCCCCCTCCCTCCCCCCCCCCCCCCCAAATTCGAGCATATTTTGCTTTGCTTATGAATAGATCTTTTTGAGGGTTTAATTTGTATGTGAAAAGGATACAAAGAGGAAGAAGAAAAATAAAATAAATGGAAGAAGATGGTTAGACAAAGTCGCCGGCGAGTGAATATCCGCCGGAATTAAAGAAAAAAGCGAAAAAAGAAGTAAAAGGGAAAGGAAAAGGAAAAAAATTTAAGAGATTATATATCTTACTGAAAATGGTAAAAAAGAAAAAGAAAAACCTGAAAATAGTTTTCTTGCTTCTCACTCTCTCAAGGAGAGTGAAATACATACACTCTGCCATGTAAGCTTTAAGAGTGCAAATAATTTTATTTAAAAATAGTTTAAAAGAATAAAAAAAACCTCCTCAAAGGTAGAATATATAGTTGAAAGGGAAAATTTCACATAAGAACAACTGAGCTTCCTACTTTTTAGTTTTATAGCCCATATTTCAATTTACAACCAACTAGCCCAAAAATATAGGCTAAGATTCAACATCCAACTCCAATAGGTTCTCAAAATTACTATTTAATTTTTAAAAAAGATTGCTCAAGCTTTTAAGTTAATTTTCGAATCAGTAAATGTGACTCAAATATTAGTTCAACAAACCAAATCCATTTGGGTGGTGAAAATTAGATTTTTACAAGCTTAAATATGTGGGTTTAAATTTTAAATTTGATTTTGTGAGAAATTTGGAGTGGGTATTATTTAGACTTGTTAGAAATTGTATAAGGAGGTTGTATATAAAATTTGAAGTCATTTAATGGAGATTTGGACTGGTTTTGAACAAGAATTACAACTGAAAATCGTGGAAGAAGTTCGTCTACAGACGCTTGTATAAAGGTGTATAAAAGTGTATAATAGTGTATAAGTTGTGTTTATACACTCATATACACTATTATACAAGATTATACATAATTATACAAAAAACTAACGTCGTCTTCTTCCTTGCGTCTTTTCTGAAATTTAACTCAAATCTTGCTTAAATCTACTCCAAATCACTTCAAATTTAAACTTTGAACACCTTTTGATATTTTCAATGAATTGGAACAACACCCAATCCAAATAACTAACAAACTAAAAAAAATTTATTTTTGAAAGCAAAGCTTTGAATGACCTTCAATGGTGGACTTTTACATACTCTTCGATTTTTTTACATTGCAACCAGATGATATAGAGAAAGAAGCAGTAATGGCGAACGTCAACTTGAATCATATATAGAAGATGTGAGAAGAAGAGAGAGTGAAATCAATGGTTGTGAGAACAAAGATTTAACTCCATAGCTTTTAGAAGCAATGGTCGTAAGAACACAAATTTTACATTTGCAAGAGTTAGTGTTTTCAAAATATGTACAATATGGGCTAGGTAGGGTAAAACTTAAAAACGTGGGCCATTTTTTGTTATGGTGTGAAATCATGTGTATTTTTTTGTAATTCTTTCTAGTTGAAAATCCGACTATAGGTCAGGGTACTTATGCATTTTTTCTTAACCAAACACATACCCTGGTTACTTGCTTTAGCATCTATTTTCATGACTTTAGCAAAATATCTCCGTACCCTCTATGGAATACATTTTTAATTATCTTTTCCTATTTCTTCAAAATTTACTTTCTTTCATTCTGAAAGAAACAATTGTGTTTCTTCCCTTTTGGTACGACAAGGAAAAAGTGAAGAGACACTAATAAAGCAATGAACTCCATTTGATAGTTCTAAAAGAGTGTTTCTTTAGTCTTTTACGCACCCAATTGTTACTCCTTTTTTTTTTTAGGAGAAAACAAATATAGTATAATTATAATTTTCAATCAGAGTGCCAAAAAGGATGTATCGAGTCATAGAATAAACTTTTTGGCTTCTGCTTCCTACCCCAAGAGAAAATAAAGCTACATATGTCTTGTCTTATTATGAGCGCGTTTGGACATAAGAATCTATTCACTTTTTTTTTCGAATTTTTTTTCACTTTTTTTGAAATGCCATAAAATTTTAAATTTTTATTTGAAGATGAATTTTGGATTATTTTGAAAATTTGAAAAACTCCAAAAAATTTATTTTTCAAAATTTTCACTCAGATCACTCACA